AACCATGACATTTATAAATGTATGAATCATATGGTGAAAACTGACTTAGAAAAAAAATTAATCTGTTCTTTTTTTCTTATAAAAGGGTAAATAAAACAAAAATATTCATGTAATTTTTGACTGTAACTTTACAAACAGCAGCCCATAATAGTCACATAGACAGACACGAGACAAAAACACTGATCAGAGTTTGCAAATCTTTTAAGACATTTGCTGCTTTTTGGTCTACAGAAATGTACAAATATTCATTTATTTTCTCTCTTTTTTTTCTTAATGTGCACCTGTGACACTATGGTGAAAAGCACTGGGGTGTCTGCCCTTAATGCACAGCCTTCTGGACAGAGCACTCAGCTGAACGGTTAAAAAGACAACGGGTCGTGGAGCCAAGTTAGCACATGTGACAGTCCTCCAGCTGGACCCTGGGACAGCTGCAAAACCAGGTGCCCCTGGAAGTTAATGGATCCCACACTGTAGCTTATTCATTAATAAGTACAGGGTGGGCGGAGTTCAGGTACGTTCTGATCCAGATGCTGTTTATTTGGGTCAGAACCCTTGGATCAACTGCCTCATTTTTTTTTCTCTTCCAATCACTTGGAAATAAGTAAAAACCCTGCAAAAGCTGTTCCTCTAAGGGGCTGTTTAGATTTGTGGCTAAATTCCATCTTAACTGTTGCATTTCAATCAGAATTAGCATTAAATACAGGTGTGAATGACCTTGGTGTGCACTGAAAACCCTTTCCGTGTCACCTGGACCACTTTTATCCACGTTTGGTAGTTTAAACATAATCTGTCCTGAGCCTCAGTGCAGAACCTCCAACTGAACTGATTCAACTCCACAAAAAAAATAAAAAAATAAAATAAAGAAACAACTCCTGCTGACTAGGAAAAATTAAATTGCAATTTGAGGAATTTTTCCTGAAGATTCTGGTGTTTTTTTACTTGTTTTTCAGAGCTAAAAGTTTAATAAAATTAGATCAAAATTCTTAGTTAAAAGCTGTTTTGTCAGGACTGTATTAAGCAGAGTGGAGCAGGTTGTAGTGTTGCAAGTTTTTTGTTTAATGTTCTAATAGTTTTAAACATAGTTGGACCCACTGTGTCACCAGAGGTGTTAAAGGTTTTCACATTTATTGCTGAAGTAGAAGTATAGACACTAGGGTTTAAAAATACTTTTTTTAGAAGTAAGTATCACTTCAAGGTTTTTTACTCAAGTGAAATTACTGGTTTTAAAACAACTTAAAGTATAAATAAAAATATATTTAAGTACGGAATATAAGTAAAATGTTATCTGAAAATGTATAACTCTAGTAAAGTAAACAACCAAAATTTATACTGAAGGTAATGAAGTATTTGTACTTTATTCCTTGACACCTCTGATGGTCACTGCATGCTATAATGTGCTGCATCTCACAGGACAACAGTCTAAGCAGCATTACATTAAATCAGTGTTGTATAAAGTACCTCAAAGTATTACTTTGGTACAAGTTAAAGTCTCCTCTAAGAACATTACTTCAGTAGAAGTCTTAAAGTATCTGATTTTTTTTTGTACTTAAGTATCAAAAGTAAATGTCCTGATGCATCTCAGTAATCCAGGTAGAAAAAAATCAAAAAGAAAAAATAAGTAGGTCCTCTAGATGGTTCTTCTTTAGTGAAACGTTTCCGCTCTCCTCCAAGAGACTTCTTCAGTCTGATGAGTTTCAGGTGAACTCAGCCTTATAAGCACTGCCTCCACATGGTGGACAAACAGGTTAGTCACATGCAAAAGAGGGCCATCGCCTAACAATAGGCTTGATTAGCTCCATTTAGTCACATGCAAAAGAGGGCCATCGCCTAACAATAGGCTTGATTAGGTCTATTGTTCATAGAGGGTCATGTGTCTCATCACCTGACTTATTGGTTTGGATGCTGCTGTTCTTAGGTGTCATGTTATGTGTATGTAGTGAGTGCAAGCAGGGCTCAAAGTCCCCTTGTTTTCCCCTTGAGTGCAGGACGTTGAGCCCCGCCTGCATTCACTACAAACACAACACAACACCAAATAACCACAGCATCCAAACCAATAAGTTAGGTGATGGGACACATGACCCTCTATGAACAATAGGGCTAATCAAGCCTATTGTTAGGCGATGGCCCTCTTTTGCATGTGACCAACCTGTTTGTCCATGTGGAGGCAGTGCTTATAAGGCTGAGTTCACCTGAAACTCATCAGACTGAAGAAGTCTCTTGGAGGAGAGATGAAACGTTTCACTAAAGAAGAACCATCCAGAGAACCTACTTATTTTTCTCTTTGATATCAAAAGTAAATTTCTGACATAAAATGTATTAAAAGTAAACGGTTAGGTTTCCCAAAATGACGTTCATTGGAAGGTGAACTTTCCAAAAAAAAAAAGTTTTTCTAAAGGCGTGCAGCTGCGATGGATTGTGTACAATTTGGTGTCAGAATGGTATATATTTATACTTCACATCCAGTGCTAATTTTATCTTTGTGGTTTTACTGTGGAGGATTTTACCAGGTTGAACTCTTCAGTCTTTGATCTGAGCTCTGTGGCGTCACTAATCATTGCACACTCCTTCATTTCTCCTATACTGCATCTGTTGGGTAGTTAAGCTTATCAAGAGATAACTACTACTAAAATTCAAATTCAAAAATTCGAACCGTGTTAAAGTCAAAATGATTGTCAGAGATTTCTGAACGTTTGACCAGTTTTACACAACCATCAGTAGACCTGCTTACATTTCTGAATGGATCTGTCTAAAGCATGGGTAAGTGATCCCAAATTCAATCAGAGTTGACTATTTTCACTTGAATCCCCCCAGATTAAACCACAAGTCTGAACAGCCTCTTCAAGAACAAGTATCTTTTAGAAAAGACTGAAGTGTGCAAAATGCAGTCTGCTGAGACCAAATCAAACACAACACCTGGCCATGCATGACACAACCCAAACAAACATTCACATAAGAACGCAGGCAGAGAGGAAATAAATACAGAATTTGACATATTAACATAACAGAGTTATCATATAAATTAAGACTAGATTGCAGCATGTTTAAGAAAGAAAAAACTGATAATCTCTCAGCTTGGGCGTTAATCTGAAAGCATTTCTCACGAGTTCATGCCAGTTTTACTGAATCACAACGAGTGGACATGCTCTAAAAGGGTTTCAGCTATGACTCAGCGAGCGAGCGCCACTTTGATCAGAAGAACAGAAGCGCAGCCGGCGTTTTACAGCGTTAAGCCTGATGTGGCAGCGTTCCCGATCCAAACACCACACACGGACCTGGGAGGCATCAACACACAGCTGCGAAACAGCAGACGTGTAAGGCCGTGACCTTGAGGCACCTCAACCCTCTCGGCCATGCACGGATCCACTCCATCGTCCTCATCCTCAGCTGGAGTCGCTCCTCCACACCGCCTGACCAGCAGTGATGGGCAAACCTTCACAGCAGGGACACGAAACGATTGTTTTTTTGTGTCCGAAGCAGAAAAATTGGAAAATGTTGGGAGGCTGGTTGGCTACTCAAAATTGTGACATTTTCTATTGCAGTCTTACTGAGTTCAGAGCTTTGCGGCCAAACCAAAGGGGAAGGAAATGGGAAATATTTTCTGCAGACTCCTTCATGAAGGCTTTTCACCAACTAACCACAACCAAGTGAGATGCTACCTATAGAAGCAGAGTTTGGAATATAATCAAAACTCAAACAAAAAGGGTAAAAAGGGGGAGATTTGATCCTTCACTTTGCCTTTTTATAAGTCATATACACTCAGTCAGCTCAACTTCCCCCCCAAATCAGTCTGTACAGAACGCCCATCGAGATATATTTTTCTGTTTCTTTTTTTAAATCAGAGAAATTGTCCACACAGATCGTCACAAGCCCATCATGACTACAGGAGAAGAAGGCAGGCGTGTCCATGATGTGTTGGCAGCGTGGAATGTGCGCACAGGTTGTGAGTCCGGGCCTCGCAGAACAAACAGCGGTCCGTTTGCTTGAACCGCCGCAGCCTCTGAGCGCAGGTATCTGTACATCGCGGTTCACCGTCTCTTTGTGGAGGAAGAGGCCGTGTGCTTCTTCTTCGCAGTCAGGAGACCGGGAGATGATGCAAAACAGGGAAATCTGAGGAGAGAAGAACGAGTCTTTAAGCAGCAGGGTAATGAGATGTAATAAGATGCCTGAGAGCAAACAAAGCCAAGCAAGTTTAAAGGTGACTTATTAACAATTCAAGAGGAGACTTATGCCCCTTTTCCACTAGTGTCGGTACAGTTCAGTACAGTTCCAAGCCATTTCTGTTAGGCTAGATTCATGGAACCGGCCCTTTTTTAATACCTACTTTGTCGTGGTTCCAAACGGTCCCAGTCGACACCAAAATGCGACGTCAGAACACCGTTTGTCACTGATTGGCTAGGGGGTGGAGTCACTGGTTGCATCTAAGCTACCTTTACAAGAACAACTCAAGGAGCCATTCTTTTCAATTGTAGCAGTGACATTAGTTGTGTTTCATCCAATTTTAATTCAAATTTTTAGCAAATTTTTAAAAATTTCTGAACTTATTCGGCAAATGTGTTTCCATCTCTCATTTTGCGCATTAACTTTTTTTTTACGAAAAACCCAAAAACCACCTCTACCATCACCCAAAACACACCCACTGGAACGGACTGGAACATCAATGGAAAAGCACCCGAACTGACCCATTCCAACACTGACCGTACCGACACTACACTAAGTGGTACTAGTGGAAAGGGGACATTACACGGGAAGGCTGAAAGTTTAAAAAATGGTCAGGGGAAAATATTCAATTTAAAGCAGATTGTTTTTGTTTGTTTGTTTTTTGTTTGTTTTGTTTTTAAAGATGAAATAAAAACAATACCACAAGTATAATAAATAATTCTGTTTATTTTAATCTCCTTTTTGAGTTGCTAGCATCCAGCTTCTGGTGTCCCCGGTAAATTACCACACTTCACAACTAAGTGAATTTTATTTTCCTGACATTTTCATTTTTACACAGCTGCCAACCAATCTTGTAATTCATGCCTGTTTGTTTGCCAGTGAATTTTATTGAATCTCCAAGAAAGTCAGATATAAAACTGCAACTAATTCACTTTTGAACCTAAACTGATTCAAGATGGCCACCACAACTACCTGACCTTAGCAAACACAAAAATGGCCTTTTGTCAGAAACTAGAGTCATATGAAATACATCCTCTGAGCGTTAGCAGATCGTACATCATCTATTGCAATGGTTCCCAAACTTTTTATCTTCTGACCTATAAAATATCCATGGCAAAAACTTGTGACCCCAAATATTACTGGTCTGAGTACACAAACTTTGTTAATAACCCTAAAAAAACACAGGATTTTTCACAATCTAAACAGTTTGTACACAAATATAAATACTTATTTATACTTATTTTGTGTTTTTGTAGTAGTTATAAAGAAAATATTACATCAGCAATTATTTTATTACCCTTTAAATTGATTTCTGGAGATTATCCAAGGTGCTTCATGACCCATAATTGGGTCCCAAGCCCAACTTTGGGAACCAAAGTGCAGTGGTTCCCAAACTTTTCAGCTTTTGACCCACAAAATAACAGTAGCAGAGACCTGTGCCCCCAACTATTTTTGMATGATAAACATTTGTATCAGGTCAACTAAACATGGGCATAGTAAATATTTTTATACTATATTTATCCATTTTAAATACACTAACCTCACTCCTTTGTAACAACTAAGGGAAAAATGTAATTAATTCAGAAAATCTTTTCAGGAGATGTTTCGGGACCCCACTTTGGGAAACACTGATCTATTGCATCAACTCATGCCAAAACAACTAAAACAGATTATCTCTTAACATAACATGAACTTAAACAAAAAAAGCTGTATTTGATGAGTCAGAACAGTCAGATCAACATACAGAGCGTGTCTTCTGACCCCATTAAAAACTTCTGAGAGAAAAAAACCTTAAAAGAAGGAAATCTTGTACAAGTTGGAATTGTTCCCCTGGGAAAAAGAACTGAGAGTGTTTCTTTTTTCTCACCCAGCTTCAGTCTCTTTCTGTGAGGTCTAACAAACTTCCCTTTCCTTTCATTCCTAAACACTCGGGCTTATTTTCCCCGTTCCTCCACATTTAGTCTATTCACCACATTCAATAAGTGGACTGTCAGTCGCCATGACAGGCAGGCAAACACAAAAAAAATTTGGTATTAAAAATAGTGGCAGGATTATTCACAGAGGCGTTCTTTCAGAGACGAGTCGCTGAAAAGGAAGGGGAACGATAAGTCGTGAAATATATTTCCTCCTGTGAAGAGAAGCAACATCACAGCGGCGCAGTAGTGAAGCTGCTCCGAGCCGTCTCCCGGCGTTATCAAACAGGAAACGCGCAGGAGCCGGACAGCTGAGAAGTCACTCTGCTTTGCTCTCTTATTATTCTCAGGAGTCGAGCTCTGCCAGCCGTTTTTAAAAGGCAATGCGTAGGGGTGTTCGTGTGGGGATCGAGTGATGTGATCGTGACTCTGCAGCGAGCACAACGATCGGGTCTGCCGACTAACTACCCGTGCTCCACATACGTCTGGCCTATTTATCATCAGAGCCGGAGCGCAGGGTTAGAATGAGGCCATTAGGAGAGAGATGGAAGCAGAAGAGACTGTTGAGTCGAAAAACAATAAATCTTCAGAGTGAGGCTATCACAGATGTGTGTTTGTGTGTGTCGTTCATTGGAGTTAGGGCTTGGCCACACGGCTTTAAAATGTTTGACAATATGTGTGTTTCATATCAGTTGATGTCAATAATTATTTATTAGTTTTTGTTTTACCTATTTGAAATAAGGACCAGGAGGGATCTCATTCATAAATTCCTCTTGAGCTGTTGGACTTATTTTATCCTTTTGTCCATGTTGTTCTTTTTTCATTTTTAGGCAGTACAAACTTTTTATCTTCTGACCCACAAAATATCCATGGCAAAAACGTGTGACCCCAAATACAGTATTACTGGTCTGAGTACACAAACTTCATTAATAACCCTAAAAACACAGGTTTTTTGACAATCTAAACAGCTTGTACACAAATATAAATACTTATTTTTACTTATTTTGTGTTTTTGTAATAATTATAGGGAAAATATTACATCTGCAATTGTTTTATTACCCTTTGAGATTATCCAAGGTGCTTCATGACCCATAATTGGGTCCAAAGCCCAACTTTGGGAACCAAAGTGCAGTGGTTCCCAAACTTTTCAGCTTTTGACCCACAAAATAACAGCAGCAGAGACCTGTTCCCAGCTAATTTTGGATGATAAACATTTGTATCAGGTCAACTAAACATGGGCATAGTAACAATATTTTTATACTCCACTTATCCATTTTAAATATACTAACCTCACTCCTTTGTAACAACTAAGGCAAAATGTAATTAATTCAGAAAATCTTTTCAGGACCCCACCTTGATGTTTCGGGACCCCACTTTGGGTCCCGACCCCAACTTTGGGAAACACTGCCGTAATGTTCTGGATTGAGTTCAATAAAATTATCAACATTCTATTTGACAAAATCTCCCTTTATATTGATCGTGTGTCTTTCACAATATATATTGTTATGGGATTTTTTTCTCAGCCATAATTGGAGGACGCTTTGTTATTGAAATTATGGACAATTTTTAAAATAATTATTATCCATTATCGGTGTGGTTTTTAAACATGGACTTTAGGGGTTGGAGTTTCAAACGTTTGCTGAATAACCTGATTCTCAATACAGAAGAAAATTCAAAACATTACTCTATTAAAACCACATCTTAAGCTTATAACATAATTAATGTTGGCCTAAAAACACAAGCAGGATTGGACTTTCTCTGCAAGCAGCATTTGCTTCAATACACCTTCACTGTGTGGAAAAAAACAAACAGGTGTGATTCACACACAAAAATAACACAGCTCTAGAATTACAGAATCAAAATTGAGAAGATTTGTAAACTATTACAATTCAGGTGACAAGAGATAACTATTATGCTTTTAGACATTTGAAGACTCTTGCAAAGGTTGTTTGTAAACTAGTCTCAGTCCAGTCAGACAGCAAATTCATGTTCTCACTTCCCCTGATGCCTCTCAGTCCCCTCTTCTTGCAACTCGTGATGAATGGTTTTTGTAAATGTGTCAGTCTCGAGCTGCCTACTTCCTACCAAGTGTAAAGACCTCAACATTATCAATGGTAGGCAAATGAGTGGATTAACCTTGCAAGGGTTTTGCAGCTTACTACTGCTCAATTGTCTAATTGGCAGCTCCCTATTTTTCCCACTCAGAGAGGAACCTATCCAAGATGGCGACCAAACTGAAATGTCAGCTCCAACAGACGGCATCAGTCCGTAGGGCGTCTCCGTATGGTTTCTGTGCAGCAGGCACATCAGTAAGTGATAGAGGCAAAACAAACAAGCCTTAAACTTTCAAAAGTTGGCTACATTTCACTGAAAATCAACCCAAGAAAGTAATGTCATTCCATGGCAGGACAGCAGCAGTGAAAATGAACACCTGAAACGCTAACATGCTGGAGCCGTGATTATGTCCTGTACAGGTGGGAAAGTTTCAGAAAGTTAGCTTGTGCTACAGGTTGATGTTTTTTAGATCGTATTTTCAGTGATTGATCACTTTGTACTGAAGCCAACTGTTTATAATTTTTGTTAGTTTAGAAAACAGTGTTTCTTAGATGCGCCATTATCAGTTGTGCTAACGTTAGCTAGAGCGCTAAGTGCTATCATAATAAAGCACTGAATTATAGTAATAATCCATTCTTTCTCGTCTTCTCACATTTTCATTTTCATTTGCTGTGGGAACGTTACTTTTTAAAGAGACTGGATAATTGATTGGAGACAACTAGCATAGATGGAGGGCGTCACAGAAATAATTGTTGACTAATATACCATCCATTCATCCATTTTCTGTACACGCTTCTTCCTTTTCAGGGTTGCGTGGGTCACTGGTGCCCATATCCAGCAGTCACAGTGCGAGGGGCGGGGTACACCCTGGACAGGTCGCAAGTCCATCACAGGGCCACACATAGAGACAAACGAGACAAACAACCATTCACTCTCTCACTCACACCTAGGGACAATTTAGAGTTATCAATTAACTTAACAGTCATGTTTTTGGTCTGTGGGAGGAAGCCGGAGTACCCAAAGAGAACCCACGCATGCATGGAGAGAACATGCAAACTCTACCCAGAAAGGTGCCCGGGCCAGGATTTGAACCGGCGACCTTCTTGCTGAGAGGCATTAGCTCTACCAAATGAGCCACCATGGTGCCTCTAATCAAAAAAATAGTCGTAGATTAGTCGACTATCAAAATAGTCATTAGTTGCAGCCCTTATTACAAGCATCGTTTAATTATACACTGTCGACAATGGAAAAGGCAAGGTTCGGTATACAGTTTGAATGATGTAGGTTGAATAAAGTTTACTCTTAAGCCTGTTTCAACCCAGAAGAACTTTGTTTCCAGTTTACATGTGTAATCAAACTTTTTAAAGGAGACCAATTATGGGTCCTAGAAATTGTTATGGTATGTCTGTGGGCTATCCAGACCATGTTCATTCAATTTAATGCACAAAATAATTCTCAGATAATAAAATTTCCCATTTTCTAGTTCTGCCTGCTCTGACTTCCGTTCAGAAGAGCTGTTTATGTTAATGAGCTCTGTTGGTAACGCCCTCCAAAAATCTGTTGATATTAACTCCGCCCTCCAAAGCCAGCGTTTACGTCAGCATGGTTAATAATAGCAGAAGCTCCGTTGTACAACCATATGAGCCCCTGTGAGACCCAGAGGCAGAGTCGGTCACAGCTTCTTTCTTTTTTTTCTCTCCCTCCTCTGCTCTGCGCTCACTCTGCATGCTGTTACTAGAGCAGGGAGCAGCAGCAGTCAAAATACCTCAGAAACTAAAACAAATAGGCTTTAACAAGGCTTTAATAAGCTAAACAATAGAGGTACATGAGAAAACGTGTTCATAACGAACGAAAATAAATAAATAATTAATTTGTGTCCATGCCAGTCTCAAACCCTGGTCTCCTGCTCTCTGGTCCAACACTCTACCCAGTGCCCTATTAAAGTCCTGTTGTGAAATGAGCTGTGCATTGCACAACAACAACTGTGACGGCTTTTTATACTGAGGAGGAGAGGCTTCACCCGGGGGTTGCTAGGTAAGGGGCTGAACGCAGGTTCCGGTGGGTTGTCGTACGGCTTGTGACATCACAAAATGATGGAAGTATAAAACTTGTCGTTAATATACATTACAAATACATTTACTTACAGTAAATATGCCCGTGGGTGCATTTTTTGGTCCTAGGACTGTTTTTTTAAGAAGTACATATCCAAAGTTGAGTAAAAAAACCTTTAAAAAGTGAATTTTGCATAATAGGTCCCCTTTAAATGTTGCATCCTGAACAAACTGATTCATAAGACATCAGAACTACAGGATACATGAGGTGTTGATCTTACCAAATGGAGAGGGTGCAAGTTGAGGATTTGGGATTCAAGCTGGTAAATGTTTCCATGTACTGACAAACGCAGTAGGGATGAGCGAGTATGGAACAGTAGTGATGCTGTTCCATGCATCAAGCGTGGGGTCATAGCAGTCCAGAGTTTTACACCGCTGTGTGCCAAAGTATCCGCCCACTACGTACAGTTTATTTCCTGATGCTACAGCTTGACAGCTCATCCTCTTGGCAGTCACATCACCTACTTTAGTCCACTGGTAGTTCTCACTGCTGAACTTATAGGCCGAGCATGCTGAGAACTCTGTGTCACCACCCATGACAAAGATCTGGTTTCCCAGAACAGCAGCCGCTGTGTAACGCCACGGTTGGGGGCACGATGCTGGCACAGTCCAACGGTTCTCCTGTGGGTCGTAGCACTGCACCTTGGGGAGTTTGTCATGGGTGACACTGGTGCCTCCAAAAGCAAACAGCTTGAGCTTTACACTGACCACTGCTGCATTGCTCACACCCTCTCTGAGAGGTGCCACCATGGTCCACTTGTTGGCCACCGGGTCAAACTGCTCCACCTGTTTGAGTGAGACAGATGGAGAGGCCGGGAGACAGCCAGTGGCTGCAGTGTGTCCTCCCACAACATAGAGGCAGTGTTTGAGCTCAGCAGAGCCATGACCAAACCTGGCAATGAGCATGGGTGCCGCCTTCGACCACTCCTCATGAACAGTGTCGTAAACCCAGACATCTTTGGACACACCGTTCTCTGATCCTCTCCCACCCGTGATGTACACCTTGCAGCCGATGGCGCAAGCGCTGAACTCCTTTCTGGGACTGGGAATGTCAGCTTTTGGAATAATCTCTTTGGCCTTCTGATCTACCAGGTATAACTTGTCACACATGAAAGTCTGCCCGCCCAGAAGAAAAAGAGCGTGGCTGGTTTTTCTTGGTCGAGCACAAGGACTGTTGACGACACCATCGTTCTGGAGGATCTTCAGCTTGCAGCGAATAGCTTCATCTACCAGTTCCTTGCTCTTTGCCTGGGCGTTGATCAGCTCTTCTGTTGAAACATTCTCCATTAGGAAGATGGCAGGCAGCAGTGCTAGACGGACTGTTCTCAAGAGCTCTGGAAGATGGCAGTGCCTCCTCTCTAAGTCATAGTTGATCCAATTAAGGGCAGCTTCATACACCAGTCTCTCATCTTCTGTCTCCAGCTCCTCATGTGATAAAAGCTGCACTACCATATCTTTGGGCAGTTGGAGGAAGTCCTCTGTCTTGCAAATGGCAGGGAAGTTGTTCAGACACATGCCCCAGGAGAGCTCTGACAGCTTTGTACACTGGTGGGCGTCAGACAGCAACAGCATGCCAAGACAGTTGGACGGGTGAAGATTCCTCTCCAGGAATTCGGCACAGGCGTCACGGATGTCCTGAAACTCCAGCATGTCCCCGGCCTCCAGAAGTGACTCTGCATTTTCCTCGTTGATAACAACTCGTGATGAGTACGCATAATCAAGCAGGAGCTCTAAAACCTCTGGATGGATGGAGTCTCTGAAGTCCACCTCACTGGCCTGGCTCTCCCTCAGCCCGCCGCTGAACATGGCCTCGAAGTAGCGGCTGCACGCAGCCAGCACGGCTCGGTGGCAGGGGAAGGAGCGGCTGCCAGCGTGAAGGAGGACATCTGTAAAAAGCCTCTGCTGCCGCAGGGAGTTGAGGTGCATGAGGACACTGTCGGCGTAGGAGGACTTGTGAAAGAGATAGATGTTCATGGAGCCAGTGCTGGCTCTGGATTTTCGGTTCTCGTGGACACACACAGACATTTTCATTGAATCCTGCAATGAAGAAGAAAAGAAAACATCTTTTAAATTGATTTGATCATTAAAAATAGAGAAAGAACAAGGTCTAAAACACACCATTTATCTTTGTTTGTCTTACAAAACTGTAAGTCATTACCTACACTTTAAATAAATCCGATAATTGTTGTTGAAAATTAGGCTAAATTGTGTTTTTAGAGACTAGATCGTTTGTCATCATGGTTAGTCACAGAGAGCAGAATAATCAGCTAATTTGCCTAACAAATTTCATTCTAAGCAGTGACTGCTCCACATGGAAACACTGAGAAGCTGAAGCAGAGAGATTGAATCTTTCTGTGCAAAGAGACAGTAAAAGATGAATATCTTGAATTTTCTGAAGACAAAATTACAACACTCACTAAGTGAAATAAAAAAAAATGATTAAGTGAATAAAACGACAAACGTTATGTTGTGAATATGAGGACCAAGGATTAACTTTCTTTACTCTGAAACTTTACCAGCCTCGGTTCTAAGCAGCAATTATCCTTCATTTTCAGAGATCCTCTCATTTACAAAATAGCGTCACTGAGAGCTGTTTAGGAAGTGAGGAAAGAGACGATATTTAAAGCATTAGCTTTTAGCGACAACTTAGTTTGTCTGTTGGCAAAATACCTCATGAACCACTGGATAGATTTAATAAATCTCGTTAGATGTACATCTACAACTCAACAGCTTTTGGAGTCAACTTGAATCAAGAATGGCCACCACAACTAATCAACCTTAGCTAACACAATAATTGCCATTTCTATGATAAATGTAATGCTCAGAAGGGTTTACAAGGTTTGACAAAAATAGCTGTAACTCTGTTATAAGAGAATTTTAGTTTAAAATGCTGGAATAAGAGTTAGCAGGTATTATGCACTCTTTCAAGGATTGCTCGGGTTTTCATGAAATTGTGAAAACATATTTTAGCATGTTTGTAGCTTCCTTGTCAGAAGCAAACGTCTGCAGCGTGTGCTGAGTTCATACCTTGACTGTTGATCTGAACTGCAAAGACTAGAATAACCACGAAACTATTTCAAAACACCAAATTAAATCTGACTGTGCGGACACCTGGGGGATTATCAGTTTTGAGAGTTCAAAGGTCTTTGTGTGTCATCAGTGACTCCTCTCTAACTGAGCTGCAGAGGAGGGGACAGTTTCCATTTCCTATAAGTTGCATCATCTGCTGAAAACTCCTCCGAATGCAGAGAAAAGGAAATGCCTGTAGGAAGACAGGCAGGAGACGGGAGGCTTCTGATGATCCATGTCACTTATAACTTTAACTTTACATCACAATGAAGTGGAAAACTTTGAACTTTTCCTTTGAAGTTCATGATGCACAAAGAAAGTAATTCTACATTTTTCAGCTGCGACCATTCGGTTTTAATCAGGTTTTCATAACCACACAGCTTCCAAGTGAATATTAAAATCTGCTCCATAAAACAGTGTCATGCAATGTGGCTTTGAACTCAGATTTACATATTAATATTCACATGTAAAACATAGCACTGCTGAGCTTAAGTGCAGCCTGCCATTGTGAGTGAAATCATTTCATCATTTTATTTTCATTTGGACTAGGGACGCATCAGACAGCCAAATTAAACAGTTTTTAAAACAACCGGCGTCTCCTTTATGGGAATAAAAGTGGCCCATTTTCAACGTGCACAGTTTGCCAAGTGTTCTCGCTATTATCAGAAGAGTCGAGTTGTTGTTTGTCAGAAGTTTATGAAATACAAAACTACTCGCAAGCCTTGCTCAACAGGATTTATTACATTCCAGAGGAGACAAATGGGGCTATATGTCATCTGGCATCCGCTCTAATGACAAGATCCTCTCATGGTTTTTCACCTTCACACACACACAAGTTTGTATTTCTATTCTTATTAGGACCTTGTATTAAATGTCCATTCATTTCTGTAGCCTAACCCTGACCTTTACCCTAAACCTAACTATTACCACAATTTAAAAAAACAATAATAATAAAATAGTAAAATAAAACATGCATGTACATACATGTACCAAATACAGGAGAAAAACACAACAATAAATAAATAATAAACCATTAATTACAACATAAAATTTCCAGCTAAATATAATGTAAAACATAACTCATGTTCGAAAAGGGAACAGGAAGAAGCAATAGCTTATCCAGTCCTGTTCCTAAGACTTCATACAAATTTTAAACCAGTTACAATTTCCTCTACCATCTATAGATCAGAACTTAACATTAACACACAATTTAGAATTAACACAGCAGGCAAAATGGTCTTCCATCATATTAGGACCAGACTTTGGTTCCTAAAAGGACAACTGGTCCTGACAAGGTGGGTGTTTATACCAGAAAATGTCATAAAATTGTAATAAAACCAGGTACACACACACACACACACACACACACACACACA